CTTGATTTTTTAGGAACATCCATACTACTGTCCATAGTGACTGTACCAATTTGCAGTCCCACCAATAATACAATTTTCTCCTCCTTGCCAACACTCGTTTGTTGATTTATTGATGATAGCCATTTTGACAGGTGTGAGGTGATACCTCATTGTGGTTTTAATTTGTATTTCTATTAGTGATGTTGAGTATCTTTTCATTTGTCTGTTGGCCATCTGTATGTCCTCTTTGGAGAAGTGTCTATTTAGATCCTCTGTCCATTTTTTAATTGGAAAAAAATGTTTTTGGTGTTGAGTTGTATAAGTTCTTTACAAATTTTGGCTATTAACTCCTTAGCAGATGTGCCATTAGCAAATATCTTCTCCCATTCAGTAGGTTGTTTTTGTTTTGTTTGTGAATTCCTTTCTGTGCAAAAACTTGTCCCATTTGTTTATTTTTTTTTCTTTTATTTTCTTTGCCTGAGGAGATATATCAGTAAAAATGCTACTAGAGCAGTGTCAGAGAGTTTATTGCCATCTTTTCTTTAGGAGTTTTATGGTTTTGAGTCTTACATTTAAATGCCTAATTCATTTTGAGTTTATTCTTGTATATAATACAGTATAAAAAGGTAGTCTCATTTCATTTTTGCATGCATCTGTCCAACTTTCCCAACATCCTTTATTGAATAGATTGTCTTTACCCTTTGTATGTTTTGCCTTCTTTGTCACATATTTATTGACTGTATAGGCTCTCTATTCTGTTCCATTAATTTGTATGGCTGATTTTAGGCTGGTATCATGCTCTTTAGGTTACTACAGCCTTGTATTATATATAGTTGGATACCAGGTAATATGATAGCTCCAACTTTGTTCTTCTTTCTCAAGACCGCTGTGGTTATTTGGAGTCCTTTGTGATTCCATATAAATTTTAGGATTTTTTTGTTCTAGTTCTGTGAAAACTGTCATTGGAATTTTTATAGGGATTGCATTGAATCTATAGATTGCTTTGAGTAGTATGGACATTTTAACAATGTTAATTCTTTCTATCCACGAGTATGGTATATGCTTCTATATATTTGTATCTAGTTCAAAAATCTTTCTTCAATGCCTTATTATTTTCTGAATATAGGTTTTTTACCTCCTTGGTTAAATTTACTTCTATATATTTTAAAAAGCAACTGTAAATGTGATTGTTTTCTTGGTTTCTTTTTCTGATAGTTCATTATTGGTATATAAAATACAACTTATTTCTGAATATTAATTTTGTATTCTGCTACTTTACTGAATTTATCAGTTCTAATAGTTTTTATTGTAGGATCTTTAGGGTTTTCTATATGTAGTAACATGTCATCATCAAATAGTGACAATTTTATTTCTTCCTTTCTACCGGATCCAGCCGACATCACAGGTCCAGCATCACAGGTCCTGGAGGTAGGGCTAGGAGGTTTTAAGAGGAATAAAGACAAGAGAAAGCGGGACTTCAGGAGGACTGCTAGTCCATGATGAGACTGCAGTAACTTTATTAGTTGCGAGCGTACATTTATGCGGCTTTTCTGGACATTTCTCCAAGTGCCCCTTTCCCAGGACAAGGCCGCCCGTCAGCTCCTCAAGACATTCTTGGAAAAGATACACAGAGAAAGTATCTGGTTAGATATCATTGAGAACAGCCTAGCTGAGAACATCCAGATAAGTCGTGCATCACGCGCACTCTCTAACAATGGGGCTATGGTCTGCCCTGTCCCTAGTTGACCCTGAAGGCTTAGGGGAGAGCAGGTAGGCATCCCTACCCTGCGCTCAATCCCCTGTAGGAGAGCAGGTAGGCGTCCCTACCCTATGCTCCATCCTTGCCCTCGGGCCCCACGGAACACGGCTTCCCACACCTTTCCAATTTGGGTGCCTTTTATTTCTTCTTATCTGATTGTTGTGGCTAGGATTTCTGATACTATGTTCAATAAAAGTGCAGAAAGTGGACAACCCCATCTTCTTCCTGATCTTAAGGAAGACATCTTAGCTTTTTTCCCATTGAGTATAAAGTTAGTTGTGGATTTGTCATATATGGCTTTTATTATATTGAGGTATACTCTCTTGATTTCCAATTTTTCCATAAATGGGTGCCAGGTTTTGTCAAATGCTTTTTCTGCATGTACTGATATGGCTCAACATGCAGAAAAAGTATTTGACAAAACCTGGCATCCATATCAGTACATGCAGAATTATGAATTTTATCCTTCATTTTGTTTTTGTGGTGTATTACATTAATTGATTTGCAGATATTGAGCCAAACATTGAATCCAAGAAAAATTTCACTTGATCTTTTTATTGTATTACTGAATTTGGCTTGCTAATATTTTATTGAGAATTTTTGCATCTATGTTCATCAGGGATATGGGTCTATAATTTTCTTCTTTTGTAACATTTTTGTCTGGTTTAGGATCAGGATAATGGTGGCCTCATAAAATGAGCTTGGAAACCTTCCCTCTTTTTGAATATTTTTGGGATAGTTTGAGAAGATCAGTTGTTAATTCTTCTTTGAATATTTGGTAACATTCATCATTGAAGCCATAGGTCTAGTACTTTTGTTTGTTGTTTTTTTTATTTTTATTATTACTGTTTTGATTTTGTTGGTAGTAATTGGTCTGTTCCAATTTTCTGTTTCCTTTTTAGCCAGTCTTGGAAAATTGTATGTTTTTAAGAATTTATCCATTTCTTCCAGGTTGTCTAACTTACTGTCAATCTCTCCCTTTCTGTCTGCACCTTTGAGCCTCTTTGCCATCAGCCTAGATGTCCTCATAATTCTCTCCCATTTCGCTCCAGTTATTTAGCTACCAGCGCAATAACCTGCATTGTACATTTTTAAAGTGTTGGAGGAAAAGCTGTCCAGTGATCTTAAGGCATATGTTTTTTATTCTAATAAGATTACGGATACCAAAGGAATAAAAATGGAAATCACTACAGCCAAGACATGAAAGAAAGCTTGCATTGTAAAATAATTTAAACCTGACATTTGGACCCAATAAGGCAAATGGAACATTTTTCCATATTTTTGGAAAATGTGCGTTTTCTTCACATTAAGTGGTACCAATAAGGAATAATGATTACAAAATATTTGCTTTATATTTTTAGGTGCTCTTATGTTGGGTGCATAATTGTTTACAAGGGTTATATCCTCTTGTTGGGTTGACCCATTTATCCTGTGTAATGACAGTAACGTTTTAGAATGCCCTTGTGTGAGAGAGCGTCATGTTGGCATCCCCCCCCCCCCCCCCCGAGAGACTCCCCGTTGTGCGGGCCTGGCCAGGTGAACATGGCACCTGTCAGAAGCCACCCCAGAGCTCTGTGTCAGAAGAGGACAGGAATAGCAAATCAAAGTCATAATTTTGTCAGAAGTTGTTTTTTTTTAAATTATGTTTTCATCTTTGTTCCATAGACATTTAAAATAAATAAGCCAGTCAGAGAAAGACAAGTATCACATGATCTGACTCACATGTGGAATCTAATGAACTAAACTAAACTGATAAGTAAAATAGACCCGGAGTGTGGAACAGACTGTAGAATCTCAGAGGGAATGGGGCAGCCAGAGATTAACCCATGGCACAGACTACAGTGCGGTGGGCCCGGGGGCGGGGTGGCGAGGACGGCCAGAGGTGGTCGCTGGGGGAAAAGGGAGATCTGTAACACTCTCAGCAACAAAAATACATTTGTTGGAAAAGGCTTCTCCTCTTACAAAAAAAAAAAAAAAAAAGTAAAAAAAATTATTCACTCGATAGTTTTTTTAAAAAGTATTTACATAGCATGTATACACCTAGACATGTAAGGAGACACATTCTTTATATTAGACATTTGCTTTATTGAAAAATATTAGGTTTATTAAAAAATGGGGTCTCTTCCTGTGTATTCCTCTGGCCAGATCAGAACAGACCATGCCCGAGGTTCATCAGGGCAAACCAGCCTCACATACGTTCCCGGCCTAGAACTTGAGACTCGTTATTCTTACTAAATTTCAAGTTCTCGTTTGAAAGCAACAAATACCTTTTTCCACAAAACAATTCAGAATGTTTCTTGTTAACTTGCTGGCAGTCATTCCCCTGGAACGGACTTTCGTTGCCCCGGGCGTGTCCGCGGGCCGGGCTCCGCATCTGCCTCCGTGGGAGCAGCACAGGCCGTGGTCAGGAAAGCTGTTCGTTGGGCTTTTCATCTTCTCCTTTTAAAAGTTAGTTTGTAAAGTCCTCTTTACAGGCTGGTCTGTTTGCAATGCCCACACACACGTGAGCTGCAGAGAGCCCGCTGCACAGGACGTGCCCCGCAGGGCCAGCCTGGGGAGCGGGAGCCTGTGCGGACAGGAGCGCCGGCAGCTCAGACTTGGCTGGAGGCGCTCCCCTGGAGGGAGCGGAGGGACACGCAGGCAGAAGCGATGCTGCCGAGGCCACAGCCGGCTCTGGGGCGCGTCTTCCAGCCCTGAGCCCACTTGGTGGTGGGCTGGCTGCCCAGCGGGTGGGAGGGGATCTCTCAGGAGCTGTGAGTGCCCGAAGGCCTTCTTGAGAACACATGCGTAAATGTGCTAGAGACAGGGGTCCCCTAGGAAGAATTAGACAGTGACCCAATCGGGTGTGACCAAGCGACATCCTTCAATTCTCCTCCGGTGCCAACAGCAGGGACACTGGCCCAGTAGGCACAGTCGTGGGCACAGCGGTGGGCCCCGTAGGAAGTACCATCCAGGCACTGCCTGCATCGAGGGCTCAGTCACACCGGAGCTGGGCCTCTGGGGGGCTGGGCCTCCGGTGGGGCTGGGCCTCCACTGGGCCTGGGCCTGGGGGGGGGGGGGGGGGGGGGCTGGGCCTCCACTGGAGCTGGGGCTGTGAGGCAGCTGTTCCCTAAAACCTCGGCTCCCTTCCTTAGGCGGTGACTTTCTCAAACAGGATCGCAGCGCCGCATGGTGTTCCTGGGATGGAGTTAATTCACAAAGCATTCCCTCACACTTAAAAGGGGAAAAGGACAATTAAAATGAAGCTTGTCGCGCTTCTGCTCAGGTGTCTGAGCCTGGGCCGCCCTCTGTGGAGGGAGGAGCAGACCCACCAGGCACGGCCCATGTCGGGGTGGCGTGGCCCCTGGGGGCGCCCGGCCTGGGCACCGACAGCACGTGGAGGTGTCCCGGCCGGAACACAGCAGTGCGTGTGAGGGCCCCGAGGAGGGATCTGAGCTGGGGAGCTGCGGGGAGAGTGTCCTGTGGTTGGCCCCGGTGGCGTGGCCTTGGACGCCTGGGCAGCACTGGCCTCAGGGAACGGGCTCGCCCTCTGTTGCAGGGCCCGTGGACACGGCCAGCAGGCCGGGGGGGACGGCGCCGGCGGCCCCCGTGGGAGCAGCCCCCGCCTACGTGAACACCCAGCGGAGACCGCGGGCCGGGCCGGGCGCGGGCGGCAGTGCGGAGAGCAGCCCGAGGAAGGACCTCTTCGACATGAGTGCGTTTCCATTCGCTCGGTTTCTTTCCTTTTGAGGTTGCTTTCTATCTTTATGGGAAATCGGTGCGGCTACTGAGTTTCCTGCGAGCCGAGTTTGCTGCACTTTTCCGCTGTGCCTGGGCTTTCCGGGCCTGGGACTTGGGCCAGCTCTGCTTTGGGAGTCCATCCCTTCCTTTCCAGCAGAGACAAAGCCATTTCCCCGCCTTTGGCATCGACTTAGCAATCGAAAAACCTCCCGTGTATCGAGACAAACAATATACATAAAGAAACACACTTATGTATTCTCTTAAATGTTAATGGCCATTGTGCACCAAGCACTGTCTCCGTTGCTAAGGGTGCCGAAGTGTAATGCATGGCCATGTGCTCACAGAGTTCTCAATCTGTTGAGCAAGAAATTGCAACAGACCCTTCTCTTATGCAGGCACATGCTTCCCTCTCATTTTTCTCTAATTTTCTCTTCCTTTACCACTACAAGTCTCCTCCCTGCTCTACTGAACACTTACCATGTGTCAAATGCCATGCTTCTCACTTTGCCTATATACACAACAACCAATAGGCCAAGTCTCTGGGGTTTTTTTTTGTTGTTTTTTAAAAAATATATTTTATTGATTTTTTACAGAGAGGAAGGGAGAGAGATAGAGAGCTAGAAACGTCGATGAGAGAGAAACATCGACCAGCTGCCTCATGCACACCCCCTACTGGGGATATGCCCGCAACTCAGGTACAGGCCCTTGACCGGAATCAAACCTGGGACCTTTCAATCCGCAGACCAACGCTCTACCACTGAGCCAAACCGGTTTTGGCCCAAGTTTCTGTTTTTGTGGAGCCAAAATCACCAGATTGTATTAGCAGTTAGTAACAAGTGCACAGATAAAAACGAAGACAGAGAGAGGCAGGCAGCTACTCAGACAGCAGTGCAGTGCGCGGAGGGGGAGGGAGGAGAGAAGGGGGTGCCACAGACTTTCTGTTTGTCATAAACATCGCGAGAATTTAATCATCCATGAACTGATTTATGGAAGTGGAAACTTTTTAAGGAATTTTTAAAGAACTTCCTAAGCTAACAAGAGTTTTATATCCCACCATTAGACTCAGTGGATAGAGTGTTGGCCTGTGAACTGAAAGGTCTCAGGTTCGATTCTGGTCAAGAGCACATGCCCAGGTTGTGGGCTCAATCCCCAGTGGGGGACTTGCAGGAGGCAGCCAATCCAAGGTTTTCTCTCATCATGGATGTTTCTATTTCTCTTTCCTCTCTGAAATCAATAAAAAATATATATTTTAAAAGAGTTTAATATCCCAAAATTTCTTTTTCAAATTCCTGGAGAATTTAAAAGCTAAAGAGGGGAGGAGATTAACATTTAACAACTTTTACCACAGCTGTGCACTTATTATTTAATTTAATTTTGCAATGATACTATAGGTAGATCACACTACAGTCCTGTGCCGCAGAATGACATTTGGATCAGCTACAGGCTGCATCTGTGATGGCGGCCCCATAAGACTACAGTGCAGATGAAAAAGTCCCGTCACCTAGTGAGGTTATTGGCATCCCATAGTGCAACACATTACTGTGTGTTTGTGGTGATGTCATAAACAAACTACTGCGCTGCCAATTGTACAAAAGTACCAGCTGCATTCGGGTAAGTGCACGCTATGACATTCCAGCAATGACAGATAGCCTAGTGACACATTCGCAGAAAGTGTCCGCATCATTCAGTGACACATGACTGCATTATTGTCACTATTGCTGTTATTGTCCTATTTTACAGAGGAGAGAAAGAGAACCCTAGAGGGTAAGTAACTTGACCACTGGTAAAGGCAACCTTGCCGGCTTGACGCCTGCTGTCCGTGACATCGCGTGTGAGTGAGGAAGGATTGCGTGCTTTTATGACCAGGCGGCCATGAGAACCAGAGTCTAACTCTCCCAGCCATTGTGGGTCACAGATATGGACTCCCGTACCAACTTTCAAAGATGGCTGGAGCCAGAAGAACTGTGGAACCTCAGTGCTTGAGGGCACCTCACCAGTCACCTGGTCCGATCCCTTCACTTCAGTGTGGGGACAGCCTGGAGGGTGAGGCGGCTCTCCCCAGACGCTGGGCGGCAGGAGCCGCTGGGGCTCCCCAGCGTTAGCAGGCTCACACCCGCAGTTTAGTGGCTGCGCTTGTTTCATTGGTCAGTTCACCAGTGGCTCCTCGCCCCAGGTCTTGGGAGTTAGATTGGCCTGCAGTTCCAGATGAGAACTATGAGAACCAGAGCCAACATGTTCTCATCCATCTTTTCTACTCCTGATCCCAACAAAAAAGCAGAAAGGGCCCTGGAGGGCAAGTATCTACTGAAAAGTATGAAAAAATAAAGGCAGTACTCTGTTGTTTATTTTTAATCACAACAGCAAAATAACAATGGTGATGGTAGTGGTGGTGATGATGAATGATGATAATAGTAGGATAATGGTGATGCTGGTGGTGGTGATGATAAATGATGATAACAGTAGGATAATGGTGATGGTGGTGGTGGTGATGCTTAATGGTTATATTGTAGAATAATGGTGATGGTGGTGGTAGTTGTGATGATAAATGGTGATAATAGTAGGATAATGGTGGTTATAGTGGAGTTGATAAATGATAATAATAGGATAATGGTAATGCTTGTGGTGGTAATGATAAATGGTGATAATGGTGGTGGTTGTGGTGATAATAGTAGGATAATGGTGTGGTGGTAGTGGTGATGATAAATGGTGATAATGCTACGTTAATGGTGTAGTGATGATAAATGGTGATAATAGTAGGATAATGGTGGTGGTGGTGATGTTAAATGGTGATAATAGGATAATGGTGATGGTGGTCGTGGTGATGATAAATGGTGATAATGGTAGGATAATGGTGATGGTGGTGGTGGTGGTGATGACCGGCAGTGTGTCCCCAGTAGGCATTCTGACACCACGTTCTTGGGCTTGCCCCTTCTTTTTCCAGAGTGCTTTTGCACAATTATTTATTTGAAAATCAATGCCTGAGGTTTGCTGAGGCCCCTCTGACCTGCTTGCTGCTGTGTCTGTTGGTATCAGAGCAGAAGCCATGCCATGGACTGTGCCCTGCGGTGCGAGGCTAGTTCTGAGGGCCTGCAGTCAGGCTCCTCCGGACACTCACGCCAGAACCCTCCCTCAGGGACAGGGAAGGCCGAGGGAAGGCAGGCACCTGGCCTGGGCAAGTCACACAACAGGCACCCAATTAGATGTCAGTTTTATTTTCTTTAAGAATTCACCCGAAAATCTTGCAAATTATCTTTCTCTTCCTTGGGTTTGGTAGGTTTCTGTTCAGAGGAGAACATGTCTGTTAGAGGCTAGCCAACATTCCAGAGGGAGTAGATGGCATGTAATATGCACGGCCTCCTATGGCGGGCAAAACTGAAGGCATCCGGACCAGCTGGACCCGGTGTGCTTGAGTCCTTGGCACAAGGCACAGTGCCCGCTGCCTCGGGAAAGAGGCTTATCAGGACTCAGGCCAAGATTTGGGCTGTACTTTCCAATGCTTGTGACTCGTCTCATTATATTACCAGCTGTCATTTGTCCCTAGTTCGTCCATCTGGCTTTGCACTCTCACCCCTCACGTTTATTGTTTATTATTTGCTCTTCCTGGGTGCACCTGCTGCTGGCAAACACCATGGCAGAACCTTTTGAAGATGCTCTCAAGAACCAGCCCGCGGGGCCCGTGCTGAGCAAGGCAGCCTCCGTGGAGTGCATCAGCCCCCTCTCACCCAGGGCCCCGGACGCCAGGATGCTGGAGGAGCTGAAAGCAGAGCTGTGGTACCAAGGCCAGATGAGCAGGAAGGAGGCGGAGGGGCTGCTGAAGAGAGATGGAGACTTCCTGGTCAGGAAGAGCACCACCAACCCGGGCTCCTTTGTGCTCACCGGCATGCACGACGGCCAGGCCAAGCACCTGCTGCTCGTGGACCCGGAAGGCACGGTGAGCACAGGGCGGCTGCTTCTTCCCCACCCACAGGCGCTGCGGGAGCCCCGCGGCCGCCCTGCAGGAGCCAGAGCCAGGCCCGGGCCGTGCTGCCCCGCCCGAGAGGCAGTGCTGGTGAGAACAAGCTCACCGGCCTCTGTGGTTCCACTGCTGTCCCGTCGCCCAGCAGGCACATTCCGCTTCACCCCGCACGGGCAGGGCCCGCCAAGGTAACAGGCGGAATTACGTGGACTAGCCATGGGCTGAGTCCCAGGCTGGCGGGAGAAAACAGAAGCAGGCGGAGTTAGCTGAGCAGTGGTTAGGCATGTTGCACTTTTCTCTGGGAGGCAGGGATGCAGGCTCAGTCTTCAGCTGCATGGGGTGCTCCTGGTTCACAGGTCAGTGCTCAACCACTGAGCCACGCTGGCCGGGCCTGAAATTATGTTTGAAGATGATTTCAGATAGAGACCCAACGTTTTAAATATCTGCATGTACTGAGCCAATCTTTTTGGTCCCATTTGCCAAATAATTCACCTTTTCCCTGCAGTGCTGATGCCCTGCCTATTAGCACGGAGTCTGTGTCCTGGCTGTTTCTGCACCACCAGCTCTGTCCTAGTGACCTCCCTGCTTAGTGTTTCTCGTATAAGTGCCAGCTGTGCTAGTCATTACGGCTTTGAAACTGTCCTAACCTCTGGTGGGGTGAGTCCTTCCTCTTGATTCTCTTGTTGATAAGTTGCCTTACCGATTCTCAGATCCTCATTCTTCTTTGTTCAGATTTTTAAAAAATATATATTTTATTGATTTTTTACAGAGAGGAAGGGAGAGGGATAGAGAGCTAGAAACATCGACGAGAGAGAAACATCGATCAGCTGCCTCCTGCACAAACTCTACCGGGGATGTGCCTGTACCATTGTACATGCCCTTGACCAGAATCGAACCCGGGACCTTTCAGTCCACAGGCTGACGCTCTAACCACTGAGCAAAGGTTTTGGCTTTGTTCAGATTTTAGATTCACTTTATCAAGGAGGGGGGGGGGGTAATGCTAGAGTGAGGTTTTGGTAAGATTTGCGTTGAATTTATAGATTAATTTGGGGAGAGCTCACATTTTTCAATATTAAGTCATCACATCCATGAGCATGGCATAAGGCTCCACTTATTTAGTTAGAATTTTAAAATTCTCTTCAGAAAACTCTTCTGTTTCCTGTGTTAGGTTACTTCCTAGTGTCTCGTTCTAGTTCCTGGTGTAAGTGGTATGTGATTTTTGGTTCCTTTTTCTCAACAGTTACTGTGCAGGGAGTGCAAACACTGACAGTTTTGTTGCTTGCCTTCCAATCCCTGACAGTGCTCTAACTCCACCATGCAATGGCCAGGAGAGGGCGCCCTTGTCTTGTTGCAGTGTTTGAGGTTTTGTTCCATTAAGGATGATGTGAGTTTTGGGCAGACTGCCCTTGTCAGCCTGAAGAACTTCCCTCCCTTCTTACCTCCCTCCCTCCCTTCGTTTCTTCCTTCCTTTTGTTGTTTATTCGCTAAGCAAATGTGTACCTAATGGCTCTAAATCTAGGCATTGTTTTTATCATCTGGGATATGTTCATGAACCAGTTAAAAGAATAAGCTTCTGCTCTATCGGAATTGATGCATATTAATTACCTAAGTACTTTTATCATGTGTAGATATTGAACTTTATCAAATGCTTCGTTAGTGTCTTTTGAGATAATTCTGTGACTTTTTTCTTAAGTCCATTAACATAGGTAGATGTTTCTGATGTTATGTTTTGGCATGAACCCTTTCGGTCTTGACGTAGGAATTGTGAAGTGCATTGTGGGATTTAGGCACCTAATTTTTTTTAGGATTCTTCAGTCACTGTTCCTAAGTGAAGTGTCTTCATTGTATTTGCTGCTGTCATTTGTGTGCGCTCATCTGGTTTGGGTGCCAAGATTATAGGGTTATATTCACCCATTCCAGTGAGCTAGATTTACTCCACACAAGACAACCCAGTCCATATCTTTTAACCATTTCATCTCAAGTAGAATCCCTTGGATATCCCCTATTTCTTTTTTATTTTTTATTTTATTGATTTTTTTTATAGAGGAAGAGAGGGATAGAGAGTTAGAAACATTGATGAGAGAATCATCAACCAGCTGCCGCTTTCACCACCCCTACTGGGGATGTGCCTGCAACCAAGGTACATGCCCTTGACCGGAATCGAACCCGGGACCTTTCAGTCCTCAGGCTGATGCTCTATCCACTGAGCCAAACCGGTTTCGGCGATTTCCCCTATTTTTTCACGCAGGTTTATTTTCTCTCTCAAGCACGTATCACACACAAGCACTCTTTTACTTGCTAGTTTGCTTATTAGTTACCCTTCACCCCCAACCTGGACTGTAATCGCCATGAAGGTAGCGGTTTTCCTCACTGCACTGTCCCTGGCACCTACAGTTAGCTCATTTTTGCTACTTCACAATTTTTGACAAGATTTTTTTGGTTTTTCTAGAATTTGCTTTGTGCCTGGCACATAGTAGGTATTCAACAAGCATTAGGCAAGTGAATTCATAAATTAACCTCAAGCTCTTTTAGGAATTGAGAGCCCAAGAAGGTGATGTGGAGTAGCAAGGATCACCAGCTACTGGCAGACATAGAAACACAAGCTAGGCTTTTCTAAACAGAATCAGTCAACTTCTTTCCATGTGCATAGGCTGACTGTTAATACACTTATTTTTATCCAGAGAAAATACCTAAGCAATTCAATGAGAATATAATTGTTGAAACTTTAAGGTATTTAAAAAAAATTAAAAGTTAGCCTGACCAGTGTGGCTCAGTGGTTGAGTGTTAACCCATGAACCAAGAAGTCACAGTTGGATTCTGGTCAGGTCACATGCCCAGGTTGTGGGCTCGATCCCCAATAGCGGTCATGTAGGAGGCAGCTGATTAATGATGTTTCTCTCCCAGCAATGTTTCTCTCTCTCTTCCCTTCACCTCTCTCTCTCTCTCTCTCTCTCTCTCTTCTCTCTCTCTCAAAAAAACAAAAAAACAAAAACAAAAACAAAAAAACAACAGCAGCAACAACAAAACAAACAAAACAAACAAAAAACATTTAAAGAAATCTAAAGTTAAAATTTAGCTAAATTATATCATCTTATAGTCCAAAAATTAATTTTTTTGTTCACTCAGTTATTATGTCTCAGCAACATGCCTTTAAACTTTTTATCAATGTAATGCCCCCGAAACATAGACGGATAAGTTATTACCAAGAGGCTTTTAATGAGAAGCAATAGCCCGCAATTTCTCTTCCACGTTCTCTCCACAGTATGTGACTGGCTGTTCAATTTTACATCATTTCTTTACATCATTTCTAAATCCTAAAGATTTAGCTACTTCATAATTTTTGACAAGATTTTTAAAAGTTATTCTATTTTGTTTTGTGTCTTTAAATCGATCAAACCTCTCTTTCTTGTTCCATTGGTGTCAAGAATGCCGCCTGGGATTGAACACAGAATGTGTCAAGAATGACTGGTTGCTATGACACCCACTGCAGCCAGGAACAGGCCGATTGGGGGGTGGTACTGGCCTGCCAACCTCCCACAGCCCCTCTCCCTGGCTGGCCCGCCCCTGATTGCCCCTATCCCAATAGGGTGTGGGGCCAGTTGGCCCGCAGCCCCTCCCTTCAGCTGGCCTCCCCAATTGGCCCCCCCATTCTAATTGGGGGCAGGGCCCGCTGGCCAGTCGCCTGCAGCCCCTCCCCCAGCTGGCCTAGCCCTGATCTGCCTATTGGGACTGGGCTGGCTGGACCTCACCCAAGAACAAATTCTGCACTGGGCCTCTATTTACTAAATAATATATTTTTCACATCAATTCCGTCAATTTTTCCTTTATATTTTGATGGTCTGTTATTATATGTGTAAACTGGAGACCTAGTGCACAAATTCATACATGGGTGGGGTCCCTCTACCTGGCTGACGATGAAGGCCTATTGGGGGGCCAGCCGGAGTTGGAGAGGGGCCCTGGGAGGCTGGCCAGCTAGGGGGAGATGATATTTTTCCATCGTTTTACTTTTAATCTGTTTGTGTCTTTGCATGTAAAATGAATTTCTTAGAGACAACATATGCTTGTATCATTTATTATTTTTAATCTATTCTTCAAATCTGTCATTTGCCCATTTATATTTAAAGTATTTACTTATGAGAAGTGGCCTATTATTTGTTTTCTGTATATCCTGCAGCCTTTTTTTTTTTTTTTTTTTTTTTTTTTTTGGTCTTATTCATTGTATTACTATATTCTTTTGTGTTTAGTTAATTTTTTTGTGAAACAATTTAATTCCCTTTCTTTATGATTACCATGGATATTATATTTAACATCTTAAAATTATAACATTCTAATTTGAATTTATATGATCTTAACTTTAGTAATACCCCAAATATCTGCCACTTTACAGCACTGCTGCATTCCTTTCAGTCATTGATGTCACCAAATTATATTTTTATACATTTGTGTTGAAAACATAAACTAATACTTTTCATGGATTAGTCTCCTAAAGTATGTAGAAACATTTAGAATTACAAACCAAATGTATAATAATAGTAGTTTTCTAATTGCCCTTGTATTTAACTTAACTCTGATCTTCATTTCTTCATATGGCTTTTAGTTACTTTCTAATCTTCTTTCCTGTCAACCTGCAAAACCTCCTATAGCAATTCTTACTGGGCAAGTCTAGAGGAAATGAATTCTCTCGGTTTTTGTTTACCTGGGGATGTCTTGATTTCTTCTTCACTTTTGAAAGACAGTTTTGTCAGATATAGGATTATTAGTTGGCACGTTTTTTCTCTCTTAGCTTTTTAACTATATAAATCCACTGCCATCCAGCCTCTAAAGTTTCTGATGAGAAATCTGCTGATAATCTTATTCAGGATCTCTTGAATATGATAAGTCACTTCTTTTTTGCTGCTTTCAAACTTCTTTCTTTGTCCTTGTCCTTTGACAGTTTGATTATAATGTGTCTTGGTGTGGGCGTCTTGGTATTCATC